AATTTTTTAAAAAAATTTGTAAGTTTTGACCCGGCCGGGTTATGAAAACCGAATCATTAAGTTTGTATGGCCTAATTGGAAAATTTTATTTCCAAAATTTCCCGTGTCCCAGTCGGGATTTTGGAGTAGAACCATATTTATGAGCGACATGCTGATATGTATAATGTATTGTACGGCGTTAATGATGAATTTATCGCTGCTTTTATATTTCCCTTTTGCCTTGGAGTTTATTTAAAATATCGGTGCAGTATAATCAAATCTGGACGAAACGTGCTAGATCGAGATGGTATGGTATAAGCATGTTGTAGTTATCTGATTTGGAATTCGGTATGATTACGCGATATAATGATCGTTTTGATGAGTAGATAAAAAGGTTGAGGTTACATTAAATGTGCCGACTATAATTGCTATTGCAAGCTAATTGTATTTTTATTTTTTAACAATATGCAAGTTTATCGTTATACTATACAAATTTATAAATATACAAAAAAATTCACAAATGAGAATAATTCTCTGTTAAGTGTATTTACAATTGTCATTCAATAATTTAAGTTTGAAAAAATTATTTTACGCAAAAACAAAAATGTCTAGCAACATCTTCAATTTCTTTATCTAAAGATTTTCCCAATTCATTTCTCAATCTAGATTTACAAATACTCCATTCAAGTTCCGAAACAGAATCTTGATAAACTTCTAAATTTGAAATCTCATCTACTAAAGACCATAATAATTCATTCTTGCTTGTACGTATAGTTAATAATGAATCAAAATTTTTCACTTTCACTGTTACATGATACATCTCGTATTCAGGAGCCAAATTCTTATTAAAAAATCCAGAGCTAAAACTTATCGAATTATAATTATCATCGATTCTTCTATTATCAGATGCATCATAGTGAAATAGGTTACATACAAAATCTAAGTGATTATCTTTTAGAAATTTATTCATATAATTCATTCCTTTAATCATCGCTTTATCAATTAATTCTTTTTGTTCCATATCTTCATAATCGAGTGTCGAAAAATCTAAACATGGACATAATTCTCCTGGAATGTTTAATGAGTCACAAGTTCGTTGTTTAGACATTGGTATAAAGAATGATTGCCCATAAATTTCAGCATCTGTTTTAACTAAATGTGTATCCGATTTGGTATTTTCACTAAAACCTCCAAGAAAATAATCAACGTATTTATTGTATTTATCATGATTCATGTCATCAACATTACCGTATGCAAGATGTAATAAGGTTTGGTGAAAGTCTAAATGCGTCGAAAGAACGTCTTTATTCATTTCAAGAGATGGTTCAAAATCTGGATAAGTTTCTAGTAGTTGACTTGGAAGTAACATCATCATGGTAGGTTGCTTATGATGTAAATAACCTTCGAATGTTCTATATTCATTACCATAGTGTAGGCCATGATCACTATAAATTATGATCGCACTATTATAACAAGAATATTTTATTATTAGTTTTAAAACGTACAGTGCAAGTAATAGCATCTTTACAAGAGAAAAGAAGTACCTATTTTTAGACAATAAAGGCTTTTCTTTAGCAATCATCTTTTCTATTAAGTTCAACAAATCATTTTCTAATCCAGAATTAATTATCCCTTCTATATTTGTGTCAAAAAAAGTCGATGTAACAAATCGTCTTTCACCAGAATATTCACTGAGAAAATCTTCAATCCAATCTAACGAATGTTGCGCCAATGTCTTTTGTCCTATGCAGTAGGGACTCCATCCAAACACAAAGCCTTGCATAAGAACCGATTTACTGAATCTATTCTTGAATACACAAGAGTTTTCGAATTTTGAATTTTCAACTTGTCCTTTCTTTGAAAGAATATAATTATCACATATAGAATCTACGGGGAAATGATGAATTCCTGGTAATAATCGTTTATTTCCGGTTCGAGATTTTTCTTGAATGTACCAATAACTTATATCACTAGTACTCCAATCTGAAGGACCCAAGAAACCACCACAAGAACCATCAGAATGAGCAGTAATAAATCCTTGTTCTTCAAATATATCCCAAATCCAATTTCCACTTTGCCTAGCTTCTAAATTCCAATAACTTTGTCCAGAATAAATATAAGGTTTATTTGGAGCAGAATTACGACCTAATACATTATATCTCTCCATAGAAAACCATTTATGGGAACCATTTGTATGACTTTCTATGTTTCTAAAAAAATTCATTAAACGTGGAAATTCTTGTTTGAATTTTTCTCTAGATTCTGCTTCTAATAGAATCATTATCACATCATCGACGAGAGGGGATGAATGTTTTGAATTTTCTAGAAGTTGAAAAAAAAAGAAGTAAATATAAAATATATTTCCAAAGATTATGTATACTATATTGATTACGAACGTTTAAGTTTCTCATTGAATTCTGCATCAGCTTTTTTTATTTCTTTTCTTATCATACTGGCGTTAGACTTATCCATACATTGTAGCAACACATAAGTCTCATTTAAAATAAATAAACCATCCTTCTCTTGATCCCAAACTGCCCAAGAAAGATCCATCGATTTATAATGATATAGGAAAGTCGATTGATTGGGACATCCGGTTACATTAATATACTGAGTGTTTGTTCTCTCTGAGTAAACCACGTGACCTATTCCGGGACCTAAATTTTATAAAAAAAAAAACAAGTTTAAAATCACATTTTAAACGTAATATACATAAGTCGTTTATATGTATATTATGTAAGTAAATATAATTCACCTCTTTCAATATCAACACGTATAGAATTGTCTCTAAATAAGTTAGGTAATTCTGGAAGGTCACATTTAGAATCTGAAATAATGTCATTGACATTTTGATCGTAAAGTACAGTCCAGATACCGATTCCGAGTATTATTAAAATTATATAAAATGTAATAAAAAAAAGAAGCAAAATATGATTTTTTCTATGTTCTCGAAAGAAAGTAGATATTGGGGTAGGTAAAGATGATAATGGAGGAGTTCCAATAGATTTATACGTATAACTTGAACGATAAGGTTTAATTTTTATACGTAAAGGGGTATTTTCCATTGCCATTCTTTTTATTTTAATTAACAAAATAAACAAAATGCAAGAAAAACTTTGGATAAAGAATCTCTTTTATCTCGTTTAATTAGTTAGATAAATTAAAATTTCATTAATTTTCTCTAAAAATTAAATCTCGATAGTTTTCAACATTTTAATACAAGGATCTTTGCCAGTAACTGAAAGCTCGTTAAAATCATGGCTATAAACAGACGAACAAACAGTGATGATTGTCGATCCAGTTAAGAACGATCAAGTACTAGGAATTAACATGTTACAGGCTTGTAGAAAATTGATGCTCGGTAAGGCTTTTTTATGGCTGTGGAGGCTATTACCAAAAGCATGATAATTTAGTTTGATAAGCATCAGATAAAAAACTTGATAAATCCATTTTCTATTATTGCTTCTATTAAGTCGAAATAATTGAGAGTAAGCCATTTTAACAACAGCTGAAATACAGAAATAGATAACATGAACAATTTAAACCATACGTTAACCTGCCGAAGTATAGACATAGATCTGATCTTAGATTTATGACAAAGATTGCCGCAGTAAATTTATGTTTCACAAATATGAGAAAGGAAAGTCTATTTTACGGGAAATCCATCCCGACTTTGCTAAAATAGAATTTCCATACATTAACGTATCCGAAGAAAATATTCAAATTTCAAAAAGAACCAAAGTATGAAAATAAACGGTCTTGTTACTTTTGTTTCCAAATTGGAATCAAATTACGAGATTTCATCCAAGCATTTAGTATAATTGATTGGTTGTATATCAGAATCCCGACACACAAAATCCCGACACACAAAATCCCGGCAACAAAATCCTGATACACAAAATCC